CCAGGAAGCAACCTTGGAGATCAACCAATCACTGCATTTTATATGGAGGGGAGGAAAAAACCTCCTTCTGCAGGCCATTTTCCTACTGTAGTGAAAAAGAAAATTTTGTTTTTGAAACAAGTGTCCTGTGGTGGAATAGGGCCCAGGGGCTATCACCATGTAGGCAAGTGAAGGTACAACTTCTGCTATATCAGCTTTGTTCTTGTCTGTATCATATAGGAGGCTTCTGGTAAAATATGTTAATATAGTCAAGTATTCTGCTGCTTTAAAGATTTCCTCATACTTCTACTGAAATAGTAGGCTTGGAAGGTTGCATTAAACCATGTAGTTTAGTCCATTAATGTGGGTGGGGCATGTGGATTATGTTGCCCAGTGGCCAGTTCCGGGGCCATTACAAATGGCTACTTCCATAAATGTCATCGATAGCTTCCCTTGTTCACTGTATCACTACCAGTGTGTGATATGTAGTAAAAAATCTATAAACCATCTCTGAGAGACACACGGAGAGTTCAAGAAGGTTTTAAAGAAACAATTTTTCTAAAGGAAGATGAAGTTCATTTGCGTCAAGCAAAAAGTAGCACAATTTAGCTGTGGTGACTCACTGGCAGAGAAATAGCTGGAAAATTATTGTGTGTGTGTTTTGTTCATATATCCTCAAATGGCCAGTGGTGGCTTTCTTCTACCCAATATCTGATCATAAAAGAAATAAGAGAATTTTAAAAAGTCAAAAATTAAATTGACTACTTTGGTCTCAGGGAGACACAGTGACAGTCCCAAGGAAACCGCACACACACACGGACACACACACATATACACAGTGTTTGATTCTTTTTAACATAATCACACAATATTATCCAAATTTGAAAACAATGAGGTTAATCAGAAAGTTTTCTTTGCTTTAATGAATAATTTGCATGTATGCTAACAGTAGTTTTAGTGCTCTGACCTGATTTATAAATAAGAGAAGGGTGTGTATATGACAAGGGGTGGAGATTGGGCAGAAGAGAGACAGGTCTAAGAGAGGAGTTTCTGGGCCTGGTGCTCTCTGCAGCCCCTCTTACCTTGTGTGGTTCCATCCAGTCCCATGATCAATTTCATTGCTCTGATGATTTGCTCTGCTACAGGGGGGCTCATGGATGCAGCGTAAACAGCACTATGCGAATGAACCCGTAAGTAATCCACAAGGTCCTTAAATGAAGGGAAGAAACCCAAAAAAGAAAGCAAATAAATCTCAGTGTTGGTGAGAATTACATCTTGGCCTGCACCCATCCATCATAGCAAAAGACATTTGAATTCACAGCTGAAGAGATGAGTATGGTGTGACTTTTAGGGGGTGTCACTGAACTATTTTTTCTATTTTATTCTTCTTGGCCTCTCCCTCAAAAAAACCTAGAAGCTATATGTATAAAAGTGGAATTCTGCAAGTTTGGAGTTGAACAATAAAGGTAAATCCAGATATGTGAAGGAAAAAGGGTGACTTTGAAAGCGTTTGTTGAGTATACCATGTGCAAGCACTGCCTTAGAGGTCAGGTATGTCCAAAGGATATGGGACATGGTCCTTGCCCTTGAGAATATTACAGATGACTGTGCTCATGGCCAAGTAATGGTAGGAAAAGCAATAGTACATGCAAACTAGTATAGAAATGAGGCTACAAGATGCAGAGGAAAGAGAGAGGATCCCACTAGCTAGAGTAGATTGGGAAGTTTCAGTGATGAGACTGGATTGATTAAACTTTGAAAAATGAAGACAAATAAAGAGAAAAGGAAAACTTGCCTGGAACATGTAGTAAAAGAGAGAAGTTGAACAATGGTACAGAGGTATGAAAGCAGAAGGCATGCGTGGTAGATTGTAAAAAGTGGCTGTAATTCTTTCATTCCCTGTGCAATCCAACTTTGTAGCATTCTCCACGAAAATATGCAAAAATCGGGCGTGGCCTTGGGATGTACTTGCTATGAGCAGTAGAATGTGGCAGTGGTGATGGTGTGCTAGTTCTGAACCTGTACCTCAAAAAGGCTTGAGTGTTGTGGTTCTCTCATAACTCTGAAGCTGCCATGTGAACTGGGCTGGCTCACCAGACAATGACAGCCACACGAAGTAAAGAAGTGCCATCCTAGCTGAGGCCATCCCAGGCCAACCAGTACCCTACTTGACCCAGTAAATGTTTTTCACACAAGAGCAAGTCCAACTGACACCAATAGAACTTCTTAGCTGAGCTCAGACCACATTGTTGATGTGTAGAATTGTGAACTGAATACATGGTAGTATTTTATACACAATGTTTTAGGGAGTCTTATTACACAGCAAAAACTAACTGATACAGCATGTTCAGGGCACAGCAAGGAACAGACTGAGAAAAGATTAGTGGGAAATCAAATTAAGCTTTAGGTTAGGACCCAATAAGCCCTGCATATGCTCTGGGCAGTAGAGAACTATTGGAATTTTTGTGTAATGCTCTTTGGAGTGCTAAGACACTGCAGAATGCTGGTCTTCCATAGTAGGAACATTTTTCACCTGCATGCCTTACACCCAAGGCCAACTGTCAGGCCCCAGGTAGGCTTGTTGAAAGCCCCAAGAAGCCCCAATAACCTAATGCCATTGTGGGGAGGATCTCAGAGCTGGCATCTGTATGTGCTCAACCTTGGCTGTGCAGACCATCTGTCAGGTCACCTATACTGGCTTATGGCCTGGGACTCTCAAGATGTCCTGCAGAAAAGCTAGTGGGCCAATGACAGCTCTCTGCATTAGCAGTGGGGTCTTTCAAGGATCAGCCACCTTTTCCTTAGGATAACACCACAGTTTAGAATCCTACTTAAGTGTCTTCTCCGATTGTTCCTCATGGTGGTGAATTGGGAGGAGCTCTTGGGAGTTGAAAGCTTCTTTTGGGGGGCAGGTCCACATCTTCCTAAACCTCCATCATCAGTCACATCCATAAGCCTGGGACTGTTTATGTTTCTCATAAAGTGTATGGCCACAGGGGGTTGGTGAAGGTTAAATTATAGCATTTTAAACAGTTTTTCTTCCTCAGTAAAGTGTATGGCTTGCCTCACAGGGGGTTGGTGAAGGTTAAATTACAGATGTGATGGCTCTATCTGGCCCATGGGGGGATCCAGGACCTTCTTGCCTCTCCAATATGTCTTTCATTCTGAATCCTCTCTTACTTCCACTCTTCCTTCTTCTCTGACTTCCTTTCTTCCTCTTCTTCACTTTGAACTGTTAATTCCTTCTGATTCTTTGTTTCTCCCTTTCCTCTAGTTTTCTCACTTCTACTCTGGTTCCCTATCTTTCTCTTTTCATTTCAAACTCTCCATTTAAATCTTTTTCTTCTCTTTTCCTTACTAAACACAGCATTTCCCTCCCTCCCTTCCTTCCTTCCTTCCTGTTTTCTTCTCTCTTTTTCTCCTTCCATCTTTCCTCCCAGTGAATGTTCCAAGGACTTTCTCTGGGCTGTGTTCTAGATGTGTGTGGGCATCCCTGGCATCCATTATCCATTCATATAACTAAAATTAAGCTTTGGCCTATTTTTTATTTGGTGAATCCATAAAAACACCTAGCTGTGTTTTCCCCATATTTGAGGAGGGCATGTGTGACACTGGTTGGCTTAAGGCATGAGCCACATGGCATCCAGGAATTTCACTTTGGAGGAGCTGGGGCATCTCAGAGAGAGTAGTGGTCATTTTCCTGAGTAGCTACAGCCAGCCTGTCCCTCACAGCTTCATTTCTTAATCCTAGCAAACAACAGCAGAGATTTTTTTCTATACTGAGAGCTTTGCTTCCCCACAGGATTCTGGGGAAGCCAAGAACAGAGAAGGTGGATTACAGGGACTGGACAGGGATGATGGAGGCCCAGAGGGACTTGTGTTGGGAAGGGAGTGTAACAAGGGCATGATCTTAAGCTGAAGTAGATGTGGACAGATGAAGATGAGTGGAAAGGCATGGACATGTGCTAAAATGAGGAAAAGGAATGGCATTTTATGGGCAAAAAATTGGGAGGCAGAGGAAGAAGCTTGTGTTTCTGGGGAGGTGAAACCCAGGAGTTATAGCCTCTGAAAGGAACTCTGTTGATTGGGTTCAAATCCTGGCTTTGCCACTTA